CAACATACAGGAATCTATGGGAAACAATGAAACGTGGGAAATTCATAGCAGTCAATGCCCATATTAGGAAAACAGAGAGAACTCAGATAAATAACCTAATGCAGAACCTCAAGCTTCTAGAAAAAGAAGAGCATAACAAACCCAAAGCTCATACAAGAGAGGAAATTATAACGATCAGAGCAGAAATCAATGCAATGGAGACTAAGAGAACAATACAAAAACTTAATGAATCAAAGACTTGGTTTTTCTAAAGAACAAATAAATTGATAAAACTTTAGCCAACCTTATCAAAAAAAGGAAAGAAAGGGCTCAAATCCATGCAATTAAGAACGAAAAAGGTGAAGTCACAACAGACCCACCAGAAATCCAGAGGATCATCAATACCTACCTCGAGAAGAGGGAGGAAGGGAAAACAAGGAAAGAGAAGGAAGGGGAGAAGAGGAGAGGGGTAAGTTTGTAGAAGAATAAGGTGAGTTTCACACCAAAACCACTGGCCAGTGTCTATCTTTACGCAGGAAAAGTTGATTGCCAAAGACACAAGAATATTACCTTTTTTTTTTGTACCAGGGATCAAATTCAAGACCTTGAGCTTGTGAAGCAGGTGGCAGAACCACTGAGCTAAGTTCCTGGCCCAAGAATGTTACCTATTGAAAATAAATACATAAAAATACCTAATAGAAAAGTTTTCTAGCAACTCTAACCATACTTCTCCACAAGAGGTCACTATTGAATGATATTTCATTCTAATTCTACCCCGTGGAAAAATCCATGCTGAATTCTTTCTGCTTTCAACAGAAAATGAAAAGTCATGTTCATTTATGTTATTTTATTTTGTATGTCATACCACATAACGTTCCAGGAAAAGCTGCAACTTGAGAACATGCACAAAAATAAATCACACATGTTTAAAATGAGATGCAAAATACAAAAAAATGAGTAGATAGTATAAAAACAGAAATTAGTTTACAGAATTATGTTGCTAACCATTTTCCCTAGTGGTAAAATACAAGTTAGATTCTAAATTTTCTAGTAACTAGTGCTTTAAAAAGAAAAGAGGAAGAATGTTGCTTAGGAAAATTGTAATTAAGACCTGGAAGCAAAACTTTTCCTCAGTAGTCTGTTAAAGAGAATCCATGAGGACCCTTTAGGTGATTCTGATTGGTCTTAATATCCAAGAATGGATTGTGCAACCATGTCATCTTGCTCTCTAAGAGAAGTACAAGATGCTCTGGTATGTCAGACAAGGGAAGCTGAATGAAAATGAAACTAATACATGCTATAAAAACAGAAGAAAAGCCACAAAGACTGTTTAGCGCCTTCATTAGGCTGGACTTTTCAAAATTAGATTATTGCAATGAATTCTCTTGGTTTATTATTATTATTGTTCTTCTTGTTGTTGTTGTTTTTTTTAAAAAAAAAAAAAAGCTGAATTGATTGTACTTTGGACGACTAGTAGGTAAAACATTATCAAAGGAAGATACGCCTGACCAAACATTGAGGCTGGCTCACAAAGGCCCTGGGCTTTTGTCAATAGAAAGAGGGGAAGAAATCAGTGTGGAGGAGTGAGCGAGCCCTCCATAGCAGCAGCACCAACTCTGGAAAGCGCTTTGCAGTTATGGACTCGTCTGACAATCAGAGGAGAAAAGTAGCTGTCATTGGTGGTGGCTTGGTGAGAATCTATCTGGATGTATAATTAGAGTTGGTGGTGTTATATTGATTATCAGTGTGCTTGATTACTACTATTTGTCAATTGTAGAGATGATTAGGGGTTTTTTGTGAAGACTTCTAATAATCAAACACAACTACTTTATTTTTTTCCTTAAATTCTTTTATTGGTACATTTTAGGTATATAATATGTTTACATTTATCATTGGGTGCTTGTACCTGTACACGATGTATCTTAGTTCTTTTTTCCCCATTCCCTGTTCTCCCTTCACCCCCTCCACCCTTCCCTATTTACAAAGACTTTGTTTCCATATTTTTTCGTTTCTCATAATTTTTCCTTTCCCCTTCCCCTCCACTTCCCCTACCCCTTTGGACCTTTTCTTCCTATTTCAAATTATCAATTATTCATTTTAATCATTTTAAT